TCCAGCTCTGGTGTATGTGGCTGGTGCTCTAGCTGCTGAGCCACAGGCACCAAGCCAGGGGAAACTATATTTCTATCAAAAGCGATGTAGAGAGCCCTATACTTAGCTTTCTAGAGCATTCTTTTGGAAAATATTTTAAATATGCTCATGTTGACCACCTACACATGAAAAAGACCCAAGTAGACCCTGTCAAATGGAAACTTTTAGTGAATTTGGGGGGGACTGAAGTGTAAAGAAATTACAAAGTGATGAATTAAAAACTAAAAAGTTTTTGCTTCATTTAGTCATCGTTAACACATTTCTGGTCTTCAGTTGGGAATTCCATGACCATCAGTCTACTATTCTCTCTGAATGGGCTTCACGTTCTTATAAAGATCTTTCGGTGTAAGGGAAAAATGTACTTCCATCTGTTTCGTCCTGGTGTTTTCAATATTTCTTAGTACTTAAGAAGAACCTTCATGTGGCCTGATTACGCTTTTAAGTTAGGAATGCTAAGGTAGTCAGAATCTTCTTTTTCTTTTAGGAGCTATATGAAGTTTCTCTTGGTGCTATTTACAGTACCCAGAGTGCACTTGAAAAAATATTGAGAGCTATTTAAATGTCATTGTCAGAGGGTTTCAAAAGTTCAGAGGACCAGGACGTTTTGCCTTCCTTTCACCTAATCAAAAAGCCACCTTGCTGTGTAGTCACTAAAAGATGTTCCCACATAAAGGTTGCTCATGTGAAACCTTTGAGCTAGTTTTCTTTCTTTATTTTTTTTCCTATTAAGAATCCTTTCAGCGCACAGTTGAAAGTTTCAGTTAGCTTTTTTTCTCTAAACTTGAAAAAGAACCACTATCAAACTTACAGAAAAGTTTCAATACAACACAAAAAAACTATTTTTTCCACAGGTATTGAGAGTAAGTTGCTGACACGAGGGCCTTAGCCCTCTTGAATAACCTCAGCACGTCTGTCCCGCCTTCTCCTACATAACCACAGCACAGCCATCCAGACCATGAAATTAACTTTGATACACGACTACCATTTACTCCTCAGACCTTACCCAGGCTTCTCTGTCTTGCCCTTTACTGCAAGGGATTTCAGATTTGGTTGTGTCTCTTCACTCTCCTTCGGTCTGGAACAGTTCTCAGTCTGCCATTGACATTGACGCATTGGAGGATTACAAACCAGTGGCTTCGTAAACTAGCCCTCAGAATCTGTTTCCTCATGATTTGATTCATGGTCCGCCTCTTTGGCAGGAATTTCGCAGAAGCGATGCCATGTTCTTTTGACTATCAGGAAGCCTCAAATTTTTAATATCATTTTTAGTAATGGTCACCTGTAACTTTGCTCAGTTACCGTGGTGGCAGATCGGCTTCCCCACCATATAGGTACTCTTCCACCTCTGTAACTAAGAAGTATTTTTGGAGAGAAGCACTTTGAAACCACATACAGATCCTATTTGTCATCAGACTTTCAGCTTATTCACTTATTAATAAGAATGGACTCATGATTTCTGTTTTTCCCCCAGTGGGATATGATCTAATACTTTCATTTTTTTTTATTAAATCATAACAGTGTACATTAATACTATCACGGGGTACAGTGTACTGTTTCTGTATACAATTTGAAATACTTTCATCCAACTGGTTAACATAGCCTTAATGTCTTTTTCTTAGTTATTGTGTTAAGACATTTATTTTCTACATTTAGAGAGATTCATATGTACCCTTATAGGATAAACCATAGGCATGATCCCACCAATCACCCTCCCTCCACCCACCCTCCTCCCTTCTCTCCCCTCTCTCTCCCCTCTCCCTCCCCTCTCCCCATGTTCCTGGGCTAAAATTGGGTTATAGCTTTCCTATGAAAGCTATAAATTAGTTTCATAGTAGGGCTGAGTACATTGGATACTTTTTCTTCCATTCTTTAGATACTTTGCTAAGAAGATTTTCCAGCTCCATCCATGTAAACATGAAGGAAGTAAAGTCTCCATCTTTCTTAATGG